GCATCCAGCTTGTGGCTAGATCCAAACAGCTTGCAGCTTGAGGGTGCTTCTAGATTCAACTTTGAATCTCAAAGATTAAACAGCTTCTGCAGCACGAAGAACCCGTTATCAAGTTCAGTTGCAAAGAGGAAATTGGTCATAATTGTCCCGTGTTCGGTAACATCCAGCCTTGATTTCTGTGCATAGCTGTCAACCTTCCCATTTTTGTGTGGGAAATTCCCTTATTCCCGCTGCTTCCCGCTGCTATCCCGGATTGTTAGATATCCTGTAGACTGTCCTCGGGAAGGGGGAAGCTGCTGATCCCTTATTTTCAAATCTGAAAGTTGACAGCTATGTTTCTGTAGGGGGTTGTATGTGGGATTGACCCTGAAACATGCTTGGAAGAAGCAACTGGACCAATTTATGGTGAGCTCACCATGGTGATCATATTTCATGTGTATCAGAATAGTCCTGTTGGCTTTGAATTTGTTTCTGGCACAATGCAATATGGGGGTTCTTACCTTTAGAGCAGTAAATGGTGTGGACCAAGATATATCTTCCTCTTCTACCAGAGAGACATGTTCTCATCAGTTAGGAACTGCAGTGGAGGCCCCTTTCCAAGTTCTCTTTCCACTTGAATTACCAGAGACGGTCTTCTATGTGTGGACATTCTAGATTTGGAACAGCCTCCCTAAATGAATTTTTCATCATTACAGTGGTACTTTGGTTTGCAACCGCATTGGATTACAACCGTTTTGGATTACAACCACGTCAAACCCAGAAGTGTATGTCCCTTTTTTGGGATTACAACCCAATTTTTTTGGGAGGCCCCATCGGCAAAAGTGCACCTTGGGTTACAACCTGTTTTGGTTTACAACCGGACCTCCGGAACGGATTATGGTTGCAAACCAAGGTACCACTGTACTGCATTCTTTCACCAGCCCAAGATTATCCTTTCCCCCAGAACTTGTACTCATTTATTTAGAAGATTTTATCAACCACATAATAACCACCACCCCCTAAGCAGTGTATATAAAACAACACAGAACAATTATTAATACACAGAGAAAACCAGCAAATATTAAAATATTAAGAAAATGTCAATACTGTATAGCTGTTATGCTCATTTCTGTCTTTCTGCTGTTATTTTGTCTTGCTGATTTATTCTTGTTTTGGTGTGTTTATTGTTTTACTTTTATGAATCTATTATAACCTGCCTTGCACACTTTTTTTGTGGAATACTTTAAAAATCTTCAATAAAATTGCTAACCGAAATCTTACTTGCTCCAGTTGTAATATAATACAACTCCAACCCTTGTTTTCATTTTATCCAGTGCTCTGCAGCATTTCCTTCAAACACCAACTTTCCTGGAGGCGGTAGCTGGTTCATTTTCTTTTTCTTTTTTTGTTTCACTGTTTTACTTTCTGTTTCTCTTCTGACACCATGTAAGATTTCCTGCCGGAAACTTTATAAAATGATGCCACAGGAGACTTGAAGTGTAGGAAAAGAATTACTCTACACACTATGGAACTCTTACTACAACTGATCTCACAATATCAGCTGCAAGGTTTCATTTCTCTGCTAGTGTTCCCTGGAGCTGCTTCCCTCCATGCAAACACACAGAACATTTTGGTTCCTGCTATCATTCTGCCTTTGCATCTTGCTGAGCCTTACTTCCCAAGGTGGGAATCTGAAATGCTGCCTCTGAAAGAAGGTAGCTTTCCCAGGTAAATTGTGTGTTATTCCATTGATTGCAATGGAACCAGGGCATGCCTGACTCTTGCTCAGAGCGGTGCACTGATTAGCAAGAGCAGTTCAGGTTGGTTAAGTGGCTTTTTCACAGATGCTTTTTCCTCTGCCTATGAAGGTACCTCATCTGTCTCCTGAGAAATCTCTATGTGGGACAAGAAGCTACAGTTAGAACTGGATATGGAACAACTGATTGGTTCAAAATTGGGAAAGGAGTATGACAAGGCTGTATATTGTCTCCCTGCTTATTTAACTTATATGCAGAATTCATCATGCGAAAGGCTGGACTGGATGAATCCCAAGCCGGAATTAAGATTGCCGGAAGAAATATCAACAACCTCAGATATGCAGATGACACAGCTTTAATGGCAGAAAGTGAGGAGGAATTAAAGAACCTTTTAATGAAGGTGAAAGAGGAGAGCACAAAATATGGTCTGAAGCTCAACATCAAAAAAAACTAAGATCATGGCCACTGGTCCCATTACCTCCTGGCAAATAGAAGGGGAAGAAATGGAGGCAGTGAGAGATTTTACTTTCTTGGGCTCCATGATCACTGCAGATGGTGACAGCAGTCACAAAATTAAGACACCTGCTTTTTGGGAGAAAGGGAATGACAGACCTAGACAGCATCTTAAAAAGCAGAGACATCACCTTACCAACAAAGGTCCGTATAGTTAAAGCTATGGTTTTCCCAGTAGTGATGTATGGAAGCGAGAGCTGGACCATAAGGAAGGCTGATCGCTGAAGAATTGATGCTTTTGAATTATGGTGCTGGAGGAGACTCTTGAGAGTCCCATGGACTGCAAGAAGATCAAACCTATCCATTCTTAAGGAAATCAGCCCTGAGTGCTCACTGGAAGGACAGATCGTGAAGCTGAGGCTCCAATACTTTAGCCACCTCATGAGAATATATACAGTGACTCCCCTTTAGGTATATAAAGGGTACCATTGTGACCCTTCTCAGTCTGTCGATAACTATTAACTAATAGAAATGTGCAAAGCTTTTCTGAACTTCCATTGTCTAGTGGGAAAGAAATAAAGATATCATAAACATCCAGTACCTCAGTTTTGAAGGTATGGACTTAATTCATTGTTGGCATGTAAGGACATAACTTCTTGGATTTCAGTGGATTTCTATATTATACACCAGAAGAATACTACAGAGCGTAGAATGTGTTAAAGAAAAGAAATTATTGCATACCAGTTGTGAGAAATGTATTAGAATCACATTTCTGCTAATGTACCCTGAAAGACTGTGACCTTTGCATTTGTCAAATATCGGAGACTATTGCAAATTATAGTAAATTGGGTGCATGAGAGGATGGATTTACCAGAGAGATGTCTGAGTCTGTCACGACGTGAAATAGTGTGGGAGCTAGAAAATGCAGAAAGTTTTAGAGATCCAAGGGCATGAAAGACACCTCGGCAAGAGATAAGCTTTTTGGTCCTCCAGACCTTGAAAGACTCAATGAATCATTCACAAGGCCTCTGTAGCATTCTGCAAAAAGCACAAAAACACCCGAGCCTCCAGCAAATATCAGCAGTTTGTTTGTTTGTTTGGTGCTGCTTCCTTTCTTGCACAAACAGTGTGCAAAATATTCATTGTCCTCGTGTCCCACATCCACCCTGCAAGGGCATACAGCACCACCTGAAACTCTAACCTTTAGTTGGTACTACCACCACCCTGTTTATGTGCTTCTAAGCTAGCAGGGAAGAATTCACCTATTCCCCTGCTTGTTTAGTCCCTGTTTGAACAAACTTTGGAACCTGATGCCAGAGCGCCTCTGGGCTCATGGGAGAAAAACCATAGCGATCAAAACCAGTTAGATATCCTCCAGTATTCCAAATGCAGACCCTCCAAGTGTCCCTATTTTCCAGGGACAGTCCCAGATTTATACAAGCCATTCCTGTTTCTGATTTGATCCCAGAATGTCCTGCTTTTCCTTAGGATGTCCCTATTTTCATCAGAGAAATGTTGGAGGGTATGGAGTTATGTGACCTCTGAGCCATCTGAAGGCAGTCCTGTATAAGGAAGGTATTTTTTAATGTTTAATGTTTTATTATGTTTTTATATGTGTTGGCAGCCGCCCAGAATGGCTGGGGCAACCCAATCAGATGGGCAGGGTATGATGATGATGATGATGATGGAATATGACGTCCCTATTTTCATCCAAGAAATGTTGAAGGGTACACAAATGATAAAGGGTTTGTATTTTTTGAAGTAACGTTTAAGGAAGGAAAAGAGAGAGAAGCAGAATACAAGTCAAATAAATCACGAACTCAATATCTAGGTAGCCTAAGGCTTCGAGCAAGCGCCGAGGTTCAACATATGTGCCCAGTACAGTTGTACCTTGGTTCTCGAACGTAATCTGTTCTGGAAATCGGTTTGACTTCTGAAAACCAAGGCACGGCTTAAGATTGGCTACAGGAGCTTCCTGCACTCAATCAGAAGCCGTGTAAGCCACGTCAGATGTTTGGCTTCCAAAAAAAGTTTGCAAACAGGAACACTCACTTTGGGAGCCAAAACGTTCGAGTCGCAAGGCATTCGAGAACCAAGGTACAACTGTATTTGCATGGGTCTTCAAGATGTTCTGATGGAGGCATGAGCTAGGAAAGAAAATCTATTGGTTGGCAGAGAATCAGATGGAGGAAGCATTGGGTAGAGTGCCTGGGATTGAATTAATCAGGTCATATATACAGGAGACTTTTGGAGGTGGGTGCTTGAGGGCCTTGGGGATGGAAAGTGGTATACACTGGGAGGATCTGTTTTTTAGCTTCTTACCAAGATAGCTTTGACTAAAGAAAAACACTGTTGAGTGTTAGAAAGGTGCTTTCGCTTATCCCATCTTTGAGCAGTGAAACGTTGTGAATGGAGAGGCAGGGGTTTCTGCAATCCATTGTGATGCTTCATTCTCACAAACTGCAGGTAGCGGGGTGGCCATGTAACTGAGGGGTGGGGAGAACCTTTGGCCCTCCAAATGTTGCTGAACTACAACTCCCATCAGCCCCAGAAAGCGTGGCCAATGGCCAGGGATGATGGGAGTTAAAGTTCAGCGGCATCTGGTGGGCCAAAGGTTGCCCACACCTCGTGTAATTGAATGATCCTGCAGTCAACAAAATTCATTATATTTCAGTTCTGTAAGTGATATGCTGAGAGCCGTGAGAGGGTGCAACATCCTCTCACCAAATAATACTGGCAATAGTGTCCTTCCTTAACATGTAGCTAAACTCATCCCTTGGTCGCAAATGAGACAGAAGTATCTTCTTGGTTGCATGGCTCAGTTGGTTAAAGTGTGGTGCTGATAACACTGAGGTTACAGGTTTGAATCCCTGTACGGGACAGCTGCATATTCCTGCATATTCCCTTCCAACTCTACAATTCTATAATTCTTCATGGTAATATTTCATGTGACTGTTAAGTCACTGATCTGGGCCAGTCCTTGCAGCACCATGTGTTTCAGTGCAAGGTGTTTATGCTGTTTCTTCCAAAGGGTAAGAGGTCAAGCACAAGATGACCATTGTCTTGTGACAATTCTCCTATATATTCTCAGTCTGAAATATTCTACCAAGCACTGACATATTTTGATTGTTCTTGGCTTGCAGTTTGGCCATATCTTCCATGCACACAAAAGCTTTCTGTGCTGCTGAATTGTTACATACCTGTATTAGCAAGTCAAGTGCCCCCAATTTTCCCTCCCTAATTTATGAATTTGTTCTTCTTTTAGAAACGTATTGATCTATTGGATGAAAACATAGCTCAAAAACAACGGGAAGAGCATAATCCCTTATTATTTGGTACTGTGCAAACCTGTTGTTGAGAGTGATTACTGAAATAAAAGCAATCATTTATACTAATAAAACTATCGAAACGTCTCCCTTGGCCACAGGGATGTTAGGATATGCCAGTTGCGCAAACAGGAGAGGGGCTGAAGGCAAACTTAGAGCACTAAGAATGAAATTCCCACAAACATCTCCACAAGCTCCTCACAGTTTTGATGCTGAAGCGATAGTCAGGGCCAAAGTAAATGGGATGTGAAAGCTCCATGATCCTTCTTTTCATGTGCAAAGAGTTACACACCTTGAGCAGGGCATGGCAATATATCAATATATTGTACAAAACCAGTTTGAGGTCCATATTGTGATACTGGTTTCATAGTTTTTGACCTGGCAATATATTTCAAATCATGATGTGCGTACGTGTGTCGTGCGAAAATCACAATGTGGGGAAAACCAAGAAGCCAGCCAATGAGGCTACATAGCTCCATCCTTATTTCAGACATTATGATATATCAATATATTGCGATGTTTAGCTGGTGATATATCATGAAGTTGAAAACCAGATATTGCCCAGACCTCATGGTTCTCTTGAATAGAAAAGCAGAGCATAAAAACACATTCCTTTAGTCAGGCTTTCTTTTGAATTGTTTAAGATGCCTATTTTTTGTTAACTTTGCTGCCTTAAGTGTGCACTCTGCAGTTGGCTTCCTTTGTGATATTTTATTTTGAAATCTTTGAGATAATATTTTAAAGGTAAAGGACCCCTGACAGTTAAGTTCAGTCGCGAACGACTCTGGGGTTGCAGCACTCATCTCGCTTTACTGTACGAGGGAGCTGATGTTTGTCCGCAGACAGTTTTTCCGGGTCATGTGGCCAACATGACTAAGCCACTTCTGGCAAAACCAGAACAGCGCACGGAAACACCGTTTACCTTCCCGCCAGAGCGGTACCTATTTATCTACTTGCACTTTAACGTGCTTTCGAACTGCTAGGTTGGCAAGAGAAGATAATATTTTAGCTTTCTGTTAATTACGTTGCTTCAAATGTATACTTTACATTTTACTTTCTTCTGTAATGTTTTGCGCTGGATTGTTTTATTTGAAGTTTTTAATGTAGGTTATAAACCACTTTGAGATCCCCCCCTATATAGATACACAAACACACACAGAGACAGACAAAGAAACACACACACACATGTATATAGCAATACGGAAATGAAATGAATAACAAGAAAAACAATCGGAAATAATACATTGTAATTAATTAATATAGGGATAGAAAGGTTGTCTCTCCCACAACCACCAGGATCCTGTAGATTTGATGTCTCCATGTTGTCAAACTCGGTTCCAGGGCTTCATATTAACCTCCAGAATGTCAACAAATTCAGTTAGCTCAGTGAGTCATGTCACCAGGAAAGCTGAAGTGCCACTAAGCAAAGTGCAAACTTTGCTTATTCATCCTAATGGACTGCTAATTGGAGATGTTCATTAAAAACGCTTGGGTGTCAACTGGCCTTAAGCGGAAACAAGAGGTAATATGACCCTCTAATGTGCATAGCTAGATTTGCCTATTCTATTGTGATTACAAAACAATGCACACAGCAAGCTAATGTTGGGCTGTTTGAGTCCCATTAATTTCAACAGAGGGAGTTTAAGCACTTTTTTTTAAGCCTCCTCTTGAAATCTGTGGGACATAGAAGAGCTTAACTTTTTGTTTCATACCTTTTTTTGGGGAGGGGTTAGAAACAGACAAGCACTGAGATTTATGCAACCTGTTGTTGTCCTTTCCTTTATACTGGGAAGTGGGATTGTAAGCCGGCAGGAAACAACGAAAACCTGAATACAAGTATTAAAATATGTTTAAAATTTATTAAAACCTGAAACGTGTTCGCTATGTCCTTGTTAGTCATCCCTGTGCTATTGCACTCAATGACCAGACCCAAAGAAATCTGTGAGTGATGGTCTTAGTTCTTACTGAGCACTTAGCTAGAAAACTTCCTGCATATTGTCCCCTAGGTAAGTGCTCAGGAAGAACTCATCCTAGACGGTCACTTTTAGTTAAAACTAACCCTGCAGCTCCCTTCCTGATGACCACAGCCTTCCTTTTTTTAATGCAGTGTTTATTTACAATGGACAGGTTGAGCAATCTTGTAGAGGAGCAGTAGAAGCAAATAAAGGTAAAGGTAAAGGTACCCCTGCCCGTATGGGCCAGTCGTGTCCGACTCTAGGGTTGCGTGCTCATCTCGCTCTAGAGGCCGTGAGCCGGCGCTGTCTGAAGACACTTCCGGGTCACGTGGCCAGCGTGACGAAGCTGCAGCTGGCGAGCCAGCACCAGCGCAGCACACGGAAACGCCGTTTACCTTCCCGCTATAAAGCGGTACCTATTTATCTACTTGCACTTAAGAGTGCTTTCGAACTGCTAGGTGGGCAGGAGCTGGGACCGAACGACGGGAGCTCACCCCGCCACGGGGATTCGAACCACCGACCATACGATCAGCAAGTCCTAGGCACTGAGGTTTTACCCACAGCGCCACCCGCAAATAGGCAGCATCAATTTCAGTATCAATATCAGCATCTTTACCCTTTAATGTTCCATTCAACTTTGTTTTTCTTAACAATATCTAAGACCTTTAGCTCCCCTAGTACATGTTTTCTTCCCTCAGACCCAGAACATCCAGGGTTCATTTTTTTTAACCAAGTCCCCACCCAGCCAGGTGGGTGTAACTTGCATTCTTAAAATGTCTTTTTCAATTAACAGCTTCACTGCACCCAGTGCCCATCATCCACCCAGGGATTTGCACAGAAAAGCACAGATCACAATAAAAACATTCCATTCTAATATATACTCTTATTTACCTGAAATCCCTAGACTATCTTTTCGGATTATTAGATTTTGCTTTTCGAAGCTTATCTGTAAACCACCTTGAGTGCCTATCAAGGAAAAAGGTGGAATAATAATAATAATAATAATAATAATAATAATAATAATAATTTATTTATACCCAGCCACTCTGGGGGCTCCCAGCAGAATATAATAATAAAAAGCAATGAAACATCAAACATTAAAAACTTCCCTAAACAGGAAAGTTTACTGATTATTGATTAGATTTATTTTAGATTTATATACCACCCTTCATCATAAGATCTCAGGGCGGTTCACAGAATAAAATACAGGATAAAAGCAAAAAACGGATAAAAACAGCAAAACAATAACGCCTCCTTCAAACATACACATTTAAAAGGCTGTAGAAAGCTTAATAATAATAATAATAATAATAATAATAATAATAAGGCATCCCTTGACATCATCATCCTGAAATAGCTCCCTTTAAAACAGTCAGCTATTATTTCCTTAAGGGATTCTGCAATGCAGCTAAAGTTAAGAATGTCCAGCCATTCATTTCAATGGGGGGAAATGCAAGCACGCCCTTTGGCTATGTATACATGACATATTATTCTAGTCTCAATGGAGACCAAGTGTTCGTTTTTTCTACGCAGCCCGCACCCCATCTAGATCCAATGCATGTTTCTTTGCCCCTGAAAAGCACTCCTTGAGAAACTTGTTTGGTTCCAAAAATAAAAGCTTGAGATGTCCATTTGAAAACAGATGTGGGTGTGCATATATCAAGCTTGCAATCGTTACGTCTTCATTCGCCTGGGGCATGTGAAGGGATAGCCAAATTAAGGGAGTATTTTCGCATGTGCGGCAGCTAACCACACCTATGCTTGCAGACAGCAGCATCTAGAACCAATCTAGACTGAAAGCAGCATGTTTAGGTGAAGCAGAAATGATTCAAGACTGAGGAAAAAACCACATTGTGCTACAAATGGTTTGGTGTGTACACAGCCTTCCAGTGACATCAGTGTGACTCAAAAGGGGTCAACTTGGGTTATCATTTCCCCAGGGTATATAGTCAAGAACATACTGCCTCCCTGAAGTTAATGTTATCTGAGATTTCTGCATAAATTGATAAATACTAACGGAAGTAGGCACAGTGCCTTCACATTCACAGATTCCTTAATATATTTTTGCCCCTATTAGAAAGTCATTCCCAAAGAAATCTATCACTTCAATGGCCCATAGGTGTAACTTTCTTTCGCTTGCATAATTGGTTTGTTTAGGCAGAAGATACAGAATGCTTCCTTTAGGATGGTAGGAGAAGCTTTACTCACCAGATTTCCCGCCTCTAAACATAATGGACATTTTAGAGAGATTATCTTGTCCTAAAGCATCTTGATCAAAAATTTCATCTCAAGAAGTTTTGACAACCTTTGACTGTAATCCTAAACACCCTTACGAGGGAGTAATCTCCAGTACTTCCAAGTGTACATGCTTCGGGTCTGTTTTATTTCTTCTCTTCATGGCATGAATATCATGAAATTTTGCCAAAGAAAAAATCAAGGACAGCTTCCTTTTCTTCTGTAGCTGACCTTCCTGCCTTCTACTCCCTTGAAAGAATAGATTTTGGACTCTTCCACATAGAAAATGCATGTTTTATATTTTTCTGGATCCCTATACTGTTTTATTAAATTGTAGTTTTAACCTTTTCTTTTTATTTTGGGTTATTGAGC